GATTATGTTTATAATATAAGCTGCAACTTGTTAAGAAAAAAAAAGTAATACAAAATAAAAAGGGAAAAAAAAAAAAAAAAAATTCCCGCCCATTTTCGTACGTGCGGATGAGATCCTCTTTTACGTTTCTTGACAAGTCTCTCACTGCCTCTTTGAATACGACCAGGATTGTCCTTTTTTTCAAACAATGTGCTTTTGATATGATCAAACATCTCGTTTATCTTCACAACAGCCTCCCTCTCTTTGTTATGCACATTGTCACGTGGGAAGCCGTATAGGAGCAGGCTGTTATCGTAACACACCACTAAAAGCAGCTCTCTCACCTAATCTTTGTGAAGATCGTTCTTGTTCGGAGGCAATGGCGGAGAGCAGCCGCCTACAGAGGCGAGATCGACCATCTTCTACTTTATTGTAATAAGCCCTCAGCTTCCTCGAAGGTGCACAAACGGAGAATCACAACCCGAAGCGAGTGCAATTGAGTGGAAAAGCTACACTTCTGTTGATATAAATGCATTCGCTGATGTACCCAACTATGCAGTGATGGTAAGTTACACCTGACAGAACACTCTATCAGAGAGTTATGTATTATCAGGCAGTAGCCAAAGTACATAGAGGGAACCGGCTAAACCCATTCCAGTGCGGTGGGTCTATTTGGGACCATGTCATGGCAAAAAGTACGGCAGTGAGAGCACCCACCACTGACATTGGATGGGTCAGCCATTGCCATGGCATCGCATAGCGAGATGACAGGGGGGAGGCTTCAAGCGCATTCCGCAGCGCTGAGGGGCCCCTCAACCCTACTGACCTGCGCTATGCCCGACCAATTTTGAAGGCGTTTTCAGAAGATAATGAGCCGGCAAGGACTCCACGAAAGCATGCCCTTAGTCCTTCCGGACATCCCTAGAGAAGAAGATTGGCATGGCCCCTGCGCAAGGGTGCCACGCAAAGCATGTGCTTTTAGGGTTACTCCGCTGCACTGCAAAGAAGGACCTGCTGCACGCAGTCTCTGCTAGACAGGTCACGCGATCACCGGGGTCTGTTATCCACCTCCCTTGGCATGGTGGCAGCGAGCAGTGTTGCTAGCACCTTTCCCCTTTTTTTTTTCTTTTCTTTTCTTTCCCCATTTTGCTGGCGCTCTGGGTACCGGTCTCGCCGCCTTGGGCTGGGCCAAGTCTTGTGCACCCTGGGACGTGTCTCAAGCGCAGTCGACGGGGGACCCTCAGGTCTCCGGCATCTGGTCCTGGTGTCAGAAACCGACCTGGGGCGTGGTCCCACTAGCTAGCAAAGAGGATCGGATCGAATGCCTGAATCTGGACGAGGTTATGGAGATGTGCAGGAAATTGAGATCGAACTGCTTTTCTGCATCGCTTCATAAAACACATCCAGATTCAGGAGGTCGATCCTATCCTTTTTGCTAGTGGGACGTCGGCCCCGGGGAGCAGTCTGCCAGCCGCAGGTTGCAGGACACGTTACGTCAGGACACCCCCGATAATATACATGTATATATATATTCTTTTTTTTTTTGTTGTTGTTGTTGTCACCCCAGAGGATTAGCGCCCCTCTGAGGGTTGCTCCCGTGAGAGACGGGAGGAGGGAGAACAATAGCGGTAAGGGTTGTCAAGACTCTGGGCCTCGCTCCACTAAACAACACTGTACATGTATTTGGACGATTAGTCGACCGGGTGCATTCGGACGATTCCAACATTGTGAATGTATCCGGTTAAGAAAGCGTCCAAATGCATGTACAGTGTTTGTGTTAGTGGACGCGAGCCCCTCTGGTGCTAACTTGACCCCACCGGGAAGTACCGGAAGTACCGCGCTGGTGCGTACTGCAGCCTTTTCTCTTTTTTTTTTTTTTTTTCAGCCAGTTTACAGTTGATAACACGCACCCGCCCCCGCGGCAAGGTCCCACTTGCATGCACGGAGTAGGAGATTTAGGCCGTTGATCTTTGATCTTTGCTATCTACGTTCTCTATCTCATACTTCGTGCAACTGGGACCTACCAAAAAAGCCCCCGTACGCAAGCATCAATGGTCATCCTCTCCTCTTCGATAGTACACTTCGGACCACGTGGACAAAAGACAAAAAAAAAAATATGGCGGTGTATCGGTCCATGTCTTACAGGGTGATTCATTCTCTTTTTTTTTTTTTTTTTTGGAGCGAGGCCCGTAAACGGATTGGTGTTTAAGTTCTGATCGGAGTCTAAATGGCATGTAAGCGCAGCACTAAGGACGCGGGAAAAGGAAAAGGGGGTTGGGTTAACGAAAGAGAAAAGGGGGTGGGGTTAACAAGGGTGCCGATTGGTACCAGTAGCGGTAGAGGCAAGCGGGAGTAAACGAACGGCATCCCGGCGAAGGATGGTGTCGGGGTGTTTCGCTAGAGGGCATCCTGTGAACGGCAAAGCAGAAGTAACTGTTGTGCTGGCATCGCGGACAATTGCCACGTGTTTCTCCGTTGGAGATCATTGTAGCACTTTCTGTAGCACTTCTCTTGCCTTGCCGTTTCTTGCCTTGCCTTGCCGCCGCCGATGAGCATACTACATCTGCGTGCACGTTGAAGGAGTGAAGAGGTGGGTCGTCATCATCTGTCGCCATCGCTCTTGCCATAACCCTACCTCCCTCGCCTGCAACCCCCCCCCCCCCCCCCCCCCCCCCCCCCCCCCCCCCCTCCTATAATAAGTGTCGTCTTTGATGGACCCTTATTATTCACAAAAAACTTTTACGAGACAGCGGTGCAAAGGCGCCGGTTCGAAGTTCATCCCAAACGAATGAAACCCAACATAAACGCATAATGTGTACCCCCTCCTGGGTATCCGGATACTCTCTCTCTCTCTCTCTCTCTCTCTCTCTCTCTCTCTCTTTTTCTCTCTCTCTCTGTCTGTCTCTCTCTCTCTCTCTCTCTCTCTCTGTCTGTGTGTGTCTCTCTCTCTTTCTCTCACACCCACCCACGAGCCCACCGCATACCCGTCTCACGTACACAACGCGCGGACGAACCCGTGCACACTCGATGGGTGCACAGACACGTCGATGCAAACTTGCACACACAGACACACACACACACACACACACACACGCACACACACACACACAGAGAGAGAGAGAGAGAGAGAGAGAGAGAGAGAGAGAG